AGGATTGCGCGGGCTTCCTTCAAGGGAGCTCGTAGTCTCACCGCACGGTGCGGAACCGAGAACACACGGCAGCGCCTCTGCAGCGTCCAGTTACTGACTGTCCCCATCTCTGCGTTTTCCCTTAAATCTGTTTTTCTCCCAGCTGCTACAGTAACTCACCCCAGCATCAGGCTGGACAGCCTCATGCGCGCTGCAGGAGGAGTCTGCTTTGGACACTAATTTCCAAATAATAAACTTTCATTCACTTTCCTCTTCTGTGAATACTACTATCCTATCTATTTTCCCTTTCCATATTAAAATTATATGCGATTTTGTCCTTAAACTTCAAAAAGACATTTATGTTATATGAGCAATCTAATTGTTTTGTGCATTACTCTAGTATGCTATACAAGAACTTACCCCTTATTTCTTTAGCATATGTTTGCAGCACATAGAGGCACAGAACCAGAGTTCATAGCTTTAATAACTTCAGCTGAGCTGCAATAATTAATGTAAGCTGCAAGTCTGACTCACTGCTTTTTTAATCTCCTTCAGAAAAATCGTGTGTGGTTAACACTTGCACTCTTTAAAATGAACGTTATTCTGAGAAGACAGTTCTTTTCAGATGGCATTAGCTGTCATTTATCCTTCAAGACATAGCTCTTAGCTTGTATGCCAAACCCATTTCAATTTGATCAAAGCAAGTTTAAAATAATCCTAGACACAGAATAATGAGCTACATCATTGTAGCAGATTTTTTCCTAAAGAGAACAAAACACTATAGCAACAGTTTACACAACAGGAAATATTGACCCTTAGAGAGTAAATTGCTGAGGGCCTGGATGGGTAAGTACAGTAATTTAGAATTCCATATCTCAAGAAGAGATCATTTACTCTTGTGGTACAGAGATTAAGTAAGCCTCAATTTAGCCTGTTTTGAATGAGGACTTTGACTCCTTTGTCTCCAGAATTAGGGCAAAGAACTCAAATTTTTTAAAACACTTAGTCATCATTTGGAACTGGGAATAGAAAACAGGTAACCATCAAATATTAATAATGTTTTCTTGTTCAGAGAATACAAACCAGTAAACAGAGACAAATGGATCTAAATCCAAACACTTAATTCTGTCAACACCCAGCATCCTCTTATGTATAGAAATGAAATGGATGAATCTTCTTGCTGTTAATATGTTGTAGAAGATACTGAACACGTAAAGCTTAGTCCAAGTGTTCGTACACTCATCAGGATTCTTAGGTTTTGCCACACTTAGGACTGTTTTCAGGAAGTGAGAAAGTAGCAGCTTCATACTTTCAGAAAAAAAAAACAAACAACCCACAACTTTCATTTGTAATTAGTTTTCTTTCTTGCTTACTGTTTGGCTTCTGGTAACAGCTTTATTAAAAGTCCAGCTCCAGTATACTTGGTGAAAATTTACAGCTGCAGAAAAAGAAGCACAAATACTTAGTTTAAAATTAATAAGAAAATAATTATGGCCATCATCTCATCTAGACAATGCACCAATCTTTCTAGACAAAACCTTCGCACACATGATATACAGGAAAATCAAAGGAGTAATCTACAAGGAAATGCAGTACATTAATGTGAAACCCCAAACTGGACTAGCCAGCTCTTTATTGTTTTCTTATACAATATTTTATGAAAGATTAAAAAAAATAATCAGATGTTTAGACCAACTGCAAAAGCTAATGCATATACATGACATGATTATGTTTCTGCTTACTATTTGCCGTTTTTACTTAAGACACAGACCATAAAAGTTCATGGTCAGTAACAGAACAAAACTACTACATATATTTAAAGATTATTCCCACAAAAAATCTCATCAGCTTTATCAGTATTCTTTAGCTTCCAGACATTAGCATAGGCCTTTACTTGCTCTCATTGAAGTCATTGAAAAGATTCTCATTGGCTTCAACATGAGTTAAGCTCTCAAAGAATAAGGCAATGATGATACCCTCTGTGCAGTTAGGAGTAATACAAGGAGGCTTGTATGACTACCTGTAAGTTACACCGACAAAAATCAAACAGTGTTTCATAATAGGTCCTGAAATAACATATTGTAAGAATCCGCATTATTTTACATACTATGGAAACTAATACAAATGAAGCTTGATCAATACAGTGTGGGGGTTTTTTTAAAGCAATACAAATCTGTGATGTTAATTTGGTAACGGACATGTTCTGAAAACAACATTACGCATAAATAATCAATGTGTTATGAAATTGAATAAAATTTTAACTAATAAACACATTATTAAAATGTAATTAGTATATTTGTGCATACAAATTTTCTTGTCTTATACTAAGCTTTAGAACTCTGTAAACTGTGAGGCATTCATCATGCTTAACGTGGCAGAAAGTTATATTACATGTCTTTATTATTTTATTTTGTTCAGTCCTCTTCCCATCAAACATGCAAACACTGTCATCACCATTTTTGGCTTCACTTCAACCAGATCATCTGGGAGAGCATATATACGAGCACCAATTTTTCGAGCAACCGAAATGGCGTACCTTGGAAAACAAGAGAAAATAGTTATTTTCATCTACTAGCGTGCCAAGAATCACAACAGTTTTTAATAGCAGGATACACCTGTTCAGTCATTACTTACACTCTACGACAAAATGGATATTATTGTGAAGAACGCATGTATCTGTATTGGCATTTTGCTACTGGTTATCAAAGCATTTATTTTTGTCAGAAACAACATGGGTTATGGCAGGCTATTAAGCCAACTGCAGTGCAGTGGTGGTAGGTCATATCGGCCATGAATTTGAGTTCATATTCTAAATATGTTAGAAAAATAGCTCTAGTATATTGGAATTTATAACATATTTAGTTTGAAAAAAATCACCTAATATTACTGTAGTCTCTCTCAACAAATCAGTAAATCATTCATTACACCATAAATTCATGCATTTCCTGCACTTTAGGAAAATACAAAGCATTCATTTAAAACTTACTTAGCATTATTCAATTTGTCTTGGTATGAAAGATCTTCTCTCTTGACCATTTCTGGACGAACTGCTTTTGGTGCAATGGCATCTATTAAATCTAGGACAGGTAAACTAGTGCTAATTGATTTATCCTAAAAGAAAGGAATCAAAAGATTAGTATAAGCAATTTGCTTTGATTATTCTGTCTTCACAATGCAAAAAACCCTACAGTACATCTTACATACCTTTTGAAAGACAGCAGCATGTTTTGTTAATTGTGTGAAGGTTTTCCCCACCTTTATGAGGTCTAATGTTCTTTTCCACAACCAAAATAAGGTTCACAGTCAGTGTTGATATTATTATTAATATTACACAAATGGTTTAAATTCATTTAATGAAAGAAATTCCCCCTCTTCCCTAAGGAAGGGAACTTCGTAAGAAGTCCAAGGCCCAGACTTTCAAGACAACAAAAAGGTATTTACATTCCCCACCTACTTTTGTTTTTCTCCTTTTCTTGTAATGGAACTATTTTCTGCAGTAGTGTATAACTCACTCTTTCTATAATTTTTCAACTCAGATGGTATTCTCAGCTAGCAGTCTGTGTTTTGTATTTAATACATGGACATGTGTTTTCTTCTATTCTTAAAACAGCAAGTGCTATTGCTGCACTTATTTCTCCCCAACTGTTAGGGCAGATAAGCAGCCAATGATGCCAAACCAACAGCCAGCAGACAGTGCCAGTGAGAGCCAGAACTGGCTCTGTTCCTGCAGGTGCTCAGCACATGAGTTGCATGACACGGCTGCCTTCCCCACCAGCTCAGAACTAGGATTTCAAATTCAGTGAAGTCCCATACAGTCGCCACATTAACTATACATTTAAAAACGTAACATAAATCTGCTTGAAGACATCGAATACATGGAGTATCTCCCCAAGAACATATGCCAAAACCCACACTTTTGTGATTTGCACTGTTTGAACCAATGGCAATTCAATAGAACTTCGCTTTCATAGTCCACAATAAATATCAATGATCTCTGCTTTCTCTGCTACACAATCTGCTTGCTGCAGTAACCCCAAAATACAGACAAAAATTCAAATTGTGAAAGACAATATATATGTGAACGTTGTCAAAAATCAGTGGTAAAAAAGGTATACTGAGTCACGTCACTTTACATCAATAGCTCCTTATCTTTATTGGTCTACCATCAGTTGAACTACCTTAAAAACACAGTCAATGCCCCCCAGAAACCACATGCATACCAAAAGCAAGATGTTGGGACAGATTCTCCTCATACTTTCAACTTATTTATACTGCCATTATTACAATTTATGTAGAAATAAGAGAAGCAGCAATCCTTTTGAAGAAGGTGAAGACTCTAAAAGGTAACTTAGGCCTAAATGAACTATTTTGTTCTATAAAATTATTCAATATTACCTTTTGGCTAACGCTTACCTAGTTCAATTTCGTAACACAGTGAGCTCTCAAATATTTAACTTGCTCTGTTCTTATATTTCTGTTGTGAACCACAGAGATAACTGTTTCAGAGTATACAATGAACCTGTATAAGACTGTTACATTTGCATGCAAGTGCAATTATTAATCTACCATTTCTCAAGAACGAGATTCACACAGCATGACACACCTGACATACATATGACTTGACTTTCATGTTTAACACTTAAAAAAAATGCAAAAGGAAAGCTTCCTTCATCAATTTGTTCATATTTCCTGAATAGGAAAAGCCTCTGTTTTGTACAGGTCTGCTGCACAGGGCTCCCTCTCCTGGCTCTCTTACACACAAGCCCATCTTTTTGACCAGCTGTTATTAAA